GGTTGAAGGGAGGAGATGACAGTTACATCAATGGCCGCTGGTTGCCTTGAGGCCAATTAGGCAGGTAAACTTCAGCAGGACCAAAACAAGACTCAGGCACAATTGAAAGGACCTCCCTATGGAAAGACAGAGATATCATACCCCAAAAACTTCTATTTTACATTACAAAATTGAAATTTTATGGAAAACAAAGAAGTGCCAACAATTCTTATTTTTAATTTTTCTTGTTATCATTAGTAGTTACTCATACACAAGGAGAAAGACAGAAAGATACAGTACAAAAGAGAAGTGTTGTTATTCTTCTTCTTCTTATTATTATTATTATGTGACAGATAAAAAAAAAGAAAAGAAGAGCCTACACTGAGACATACAATATATTAGAATACAGCAACCAGTTAAATGAGCCCATTTACAGAATGCTGTATTTTCACTCCACAGAGTGACTGAAAGCCCCTGGTATAGATGGCGGCAGGCAACTGATGGATATTGGCCAAGGCGTTGGCAGGGGCGTATCTAAGCTCTGAGAGTTGGTCGGGCACTAGAAAAAAATATTATGCGGTGCACGAAGCGCGCCGCGAAAAAGTTTTTGCGGTTAATTAATATTCATGATGGGCGTGGTCAATTAACACAACAATTATTACAATTAAAGAAGAAAAATGACAGTTAAGATAGCGTGATTCTTCTGTTTGGATCCTTGTTCACGAACTGTTCCAAGACATGATCAAATGGAATGTTTTTAGAGTGATCTCTTTCAATACAAAGGATACCTAGATCACTCAAACACTGGTCTCCCATTGTAGATCTAATGTAGGTCTTTATTCGCTTGAGTGCAGAGAAAGACCTTTCACAACTAGCAGTTGAAACAGCTATGGTCATTGCGATCTTTACCAAGTTAGAGAGAGTTGGAAATGCATCTCGAAGTTGGTATAATCGAAGGAATACATCATTTGTTTTGGTAAAGTTCTCTTTGTCAACGAATAATTGCCGTGCCACTTCCAGTTCACTCTCCAGAGTCTGTGAAGCAGTCAAGTTGTACACATCAGCTAGTGGTTTCAGTTCAGAAAATGAAAAGAACGATTTGGAATGAGGATGACAAGCCTGGATTCCTTTCATGATGCTAATATTCTTGTCATCAAATCTCTTTCTCAGTTCAACTAAGAAAGCATCAACTACAGGGAAAAAAAGCTCAACTTTAAGTTGGCTACTGCAATCTGGTACACTTCTAGAACCAGACGACTCGTACACTATAGAATCATCCAGCTGTCTAGGCAGTCTTCTCTTCCTTTGTGGATACAAGGACTTTCCAATTTCAATGTCATGTCGCTCACATATATCAGATATGTACTTGAACAGCTTTTCCCTCATCTAATCTGATCGAAAGGCCTCTAAACTACCCTCACAAGCAGTAACTAAGCTAGCAGCACAT